ATGTTTACAGGAAACTCTTGAGTAAATCCGCTGTTGGCAGATGCTTATGTCTTTCTTAGCCAAGTGGGAAAAAAATGGAAAATAAACTTATGAGCGTGCAGACTGCTCCAACGGTCTGTTAGCAACACAGCCATACTGATCTATTGCGCACTTAAAAGCCAAACAGATTGTACGTACGACAAACACATGCTTTTGAAAACTGGTTACCTTTTTTGTACAGTAGAGAGTTCTCTGAAAGCTACAAGCTCCATGGTGATTTGATGTTTAAAGGCCCTTGTTCATTCATAGGTGAGGTTACCCATGGATCTATCTATCTAACGATTTTTTGAGCTATCATTTATAAACAGTAAAATGTAGATCTTGGCTTCCTTGTAAATATGAAAAAAACTGATAACCTGAATTGCCCAAAGCTACAAAACTCGTTACCAGAACTTGGGTTTTCTATATTCTAGAATGATACTCCATTTTAGGTAGAGTTTTTTTTTTTTTTTTTTTTAATGTGAAAAGAATTCACATGATAGAAAAGAGTTAAGAAAAGATGCAAAAATGGTTCACATTGACAGACTGCAAGACAATGTATAATAATCGAAACCTTATATATAGCAATTAAAATAGTGTTCTGCACTGTGGGGGGGAAAATTTAGGTAGAGTTTTTTTTTTTTTTTTTTTAATGTGAAAAGAATTAACATGATAGAAAAGAGTTAAGAAAAGATGCAAAAATGGTTCACATTGACAGACTGCAAGACAATGTATAATAATCGAAACCTTATATATAGCAATTAAAATAGTGTTCTGCACTGTGGGGGGGAAAAAGAAGCTATGCCTTTAAAATTGTCCAAAACAAAAGTTTTCAAGCAGTGTAAAGGCTGTGTAAAAGTTGTATTTTCTTAATAGTAAATGGATCATTTTAATGCTGCAAAATGTTCACATCACTTTTAGGACATAATTTAAGCTATTTGATATTTAAAATAAAATATATTTTGCAGATATTATAAAATAATTTGAGAAAAATCATTTGTAAAACATTAATTTTTGTTATAAGGGGGTAACCAGAGAAATAAGTTGCTTAACTTAGAAATTTGAGCATCACAGTAACGAAGGTGCGTTTCTGAGTCTCACTCCCACATAGGCTAAGCCGTGTCTGATGTTGGTTCCCTTAAGTCTTGCATATTCATGTAGTTGGTTCTTGATACTAACTGGTTCCCTAGGTTATGACTAGTTCTGGTACTAATGAGCTGGGTCGGTGAATTCTGGAAAATGACTGCATCTAAACTAATGAGATAAATTAATAATCCAAACTGAATATTCACCGTGTGCAAGGCTCACTGACATTTCCTGAGGATACAAACGAGCAGAATGGAGCATGGTGGTTGTCCTCCTGGCGGGAGGAGTGCAGATGTGATTCAAGTGCTGTCACTGCAGAAAGAAATATGGCCAAGCCAATTAGGGAGAAGTGCTGCGAAGGATCAGCACTGAGCGCTGAGAGGGGAGCAGTAAGTCTGACTTAATCTGAGGGTGGCATTTGTGCTGAGAGGTGGAGGATGAAGTCAAGTGAACTGGGCCATGGAGGGACCTATGAGGGGATGGAACAACAAGAGCGGGCCTGAGGTCAGAAACAACGCGTGTTCTTGTGGAGCTGAAAGGATCCCTGTGGCCGCAGCGGAGAGAATAAGACCATTTCAGGATCACAGAGGTTCTGCCCCCTTTAAAACATCTTTTGAAAACTGTTCATCTATGTTTCCATTTTTATATTTTGAGAGTTTTGCTTAAGGAGTACTTATACTGAAATGTTTAACATATATTTATTTTTGTTTGTTTGGGTTCTTTTTGGCCTAATGATTATTTATTGCCAGTCTTCTTTTTGCACATCTCTGATAAGTAAGAATTTCGGTTACCAATGTTTAGTTAAATGACACCAGTTTTCCAACCACACACATCAAATTCCGTTCATAAAACATAAAATACTTGTAAGTTCACAAATCCAAACCTTGCTAGTAGCTTTTTCCACAAATGACTATGGAATAACAAGTGTTCATCATGATCAGTGACTAAGGGCATCATTTGTTTCAAAATCTGCAGTAATTGGTCACCATTCATCCATTAGTTAGTTCATATAGGACAGCACTGTGGAGTTAGAATGATCCTTCTTCTCCTGGTGATAAACCCATGTGGCATCTTATACAAATGGGTAATCATGAGAGGGAACTGGTCAATTAAGATGAAAGTGTAACAAAAAATTAAAAAGTGAAAACACTAGAAGTGAAATTCAAAGAAATAAATAAAATTATCGAGAAAACAGTTGACCAGAAGGATGTTGGTACCCCTCCATTTGCCATTCCAGAGGCTCTAAATGTGGAGCCAAACCAACAGAAAAAAGGCAAACTTATAGACATAAATGAAGAAAGTGTCTGTGATGTGATGAGAAGGGCTGAAAATACTAAAATCAAGAGAAAGTCGCAACAGTAGGTGGCATGGTGGTTAAAGCACTGGACAGCCTTATGCCTGAGCACAGTTCAAGTTCCCGACCAGTCACTTAAAATCATTTGGGGTGGGGGGACGAGCAGATGGCATATGGTTATGTTGCTGGCCTCCCATGTAGTTGACCACAATTCAATCCTAGACCCGGCAGCTTAAAACTCATGCCAGCTGTGTATTCCTGGGTGCCCCAAATCCGGAGAGAACAGAGGAGAAGGGATTGCAGCATGGCCACCCCCTCTGCCCCAGGGGTGGGGGTGATTTCTCACTTTCTGTCTTTCTGACTGTCTCTTTCTCTCTAGTGACTGCACATACCCTTTACCAAAAAACAAACAAACACACAAAACAAAACAAACCTCTTTTAAAAAATCGTGTTCGTGGGACCAGTGGATGCCATAGTGGTTTTTTCGCTGAACTCCTTCATGGCTGATTGTGGCCTAGTGGCTTAAAAATCACATGGAGCCAGTGTGTGGCATGGGAGTTTTTCTTTCTTTAAAAATAAAAAAAAAATCATGCTAGGCATGTGTGCACATGTGTCCAAGGTCCCAGAAGGAGAATGGAGGAGAATGGATTGTAGCATGGTCATCTACCTTGGGAGGGGATTTCTCACTTTTCCTCTCACTGTTTCTCTCTTTGGTGAGTGCACATGCCCTAAAGCAGAAATATCTAAAAGAAAAGAGAAAAAAATCATGCTGAGGGGCCAGCAGTTATGTCGATGGACTCTCACATGGCCTACCATGGTTCTAGTACCAGACCCTTGGCTTAAAATTCACACTACACATGTGTGTGTACATGTCCAAGATCCCAGGAGGAGAAGGGATCGCGGTATGGCTATCCACAACCCCCCGTCCTGGGTGGGGGATTTCTCTCTTTTTCCCTCTCACTTTCTCTGTCTCTCTCTGGTGAGTACACATACCCTAATGCAAAAAACCTCTAAAAAAGATGATGCCAGGCATGTGTGCACATGCCCAAAATCCCAAGAGAAGAGTGGAGAAGGGACTGCAGTGTGGCCAACCTCCGCTGTGCCAGGTTTTTCTCACTTTTCCTCTCTTTGTATCTCTCTGTCTCTCTCCCCTCTGGTGAGTGCATACGCCCTAAAACAAAACAAAACACTTTTAAAAAAGGGAAAGTAACACCAGTGACAGAGCAGCACATTGAGGTGCCCTAAAATAAAACAAAAAAAAAACAAAACACTTTTAAAAAAGGGATAGTAACACCAGTGACAGAGCAGCACATTGAGGAAATGGCAGAGATAGCTCACAACATAGCTAAAACGCTGAAGCTGATCCCGTCCTAGAAAGGTGTATCACCATTCACCAGTGCATAAAACAGACACTGGCCCATATCTTAAATTATATGATGAGAAGAAGGCATCCACTGTTCAAATAACTCTTGATAAGTTTGGTTTTGTTTTTGCTGGAGATTACATGCACTTGCCAGGGAGAGAGAGAGAGACAGAGTCAGAAAGTGAGGGAGAGGTGAACGCACCCTTCATGGGGAAGGGCCACTGTCACTCTCTCTTTGCAGGATTCTGGGCACATACTTTTGTTTCTCAAATACAGGTCCAGGCCTTATGCCATTGGTCAGCCATGTGGGGAACAGCTGCCTTAACCATCAGTCCACAGAATCAGCCCTTGATAAGATTTTTTAAACAAAGAAATAAAACACACTAATTCTCATTATTTTTATTGTTCAAATTACAGTATACTGTAGATAAACTATTAGCTTTACTATAGTCCCCTATGTATTTATAGGAAAGAGAGGTAAAGAGTTATTAATGTTTTGACAAAACATTTGAAAGGTTATGGGACAATCCTATTTTTCCCACTGATGAATAACAATACTTTCCATGGTTTCAGCTTGCACTGTCACTTTTATAGCCTAAGCAATCATGCAAGACAGGACTGGTCTCTACCTTTTATTTAATATCATCCATATAACACTGTGAACATGTCATGAAGTCAAATGGGTTTTAGAAAATTGGAGTCATTTTCTGAGCTTACAAAACCAATCATGAAGAATTCTAGATCAACAATATATCTGAAAAATAATAGTTAAGTTTTTATATTATACAAATATTAGACTTAAACACTTCAAAAGTCACAAACTCTAAGATCCAATATACTTCAGTAAGTATAATAAAAATGGAAAAAAATCTGTCTGCATTATATTTTATTAGGACTTGGCAAAGTATTTTTTAAAATTATTTTTATTTGACTTTTTAATTTTACTCGCTCATTTATTTTAATTTGATTAGAGAGAGACACAGAGAGAGAAAAAAAGAGCGAGAGGGGAAAGTGAGAAAGCAAGTTACCAGGTCCAGGACTCAAACTGTGGTCTGCCACGTGCGAGTGTCCAGCACCTTAACTACCATGCCACCTGCTGGTCCCCCGGCAAAGTATTTTTAAATTTTTAACTATAAAAATATTACTTCAAACACATCAACTATGAGTACCCATGAATGCAGTGCAAAAAATAGTTCAAAGATAAATCCTTGGAAAGCAAAGATGAAAAAAATCACATACCGATTGTAGAAATCATCTCTGTAGTAATCGTAGTCAAAGACATAGCCACTAAGGAGGAAAACAAAAAAGTTAGTTGGCATTTATTTGAACATTAATTTTAATATTAATTTATGATGTTATAGGGAGAAATTTATGTTACTTTTTCAATACATATTTTTCAACGTAATTATGTATCCAAGGGGCTTTATAAGATGTCTAATTTGATATAATGTCATGTTATTATTACTTGTTTGATAATGTAGAGACTGATGATGGCTTGTGCAATGTGGAGTGGAAGATGAGAGCAGGTAGCAAAATAAGTATTTTTTAACAAGTATTTAAAAGTGAGTGAACATTTTCCCCAGGCAAGATAGGTTGTTGGGAAAGACATGACATAGTTTGCTATGCAAAAATGTGTTCTGACTTTCCAGACAACCCAATAAAATGTAATTGTCCTTCTTTCCTAAGGTAAGTGCAATGAGGTTAAACAATAAACAAAAAAAAACACACTGAAATAAGATAAATGGGAAAGCATAATGATTCATTCATTGCAAGAATGGAACTAGAAATTGGAATGTCGTTTCCTTACAATTCAACATTTTTTCCATTCTAAAAACTATCACTTCAATACTTTCAATAAAGAAAACCAAAAGATTGGCCTTGCCAACAATAAAAATATTTTAGGGCATTTAAATAGGAATTAATAAACACATTTCAATGACACTTTATAATAACTAAGTTTCAGAAGGGAATATATAACAAAAGTTGCCTCCATTTATTTGTATAGTTGTTTGAGTTTACAAAGCATTTTAACCTTATTTTAAATTTTTTTGGGGGGGAGTGGGGGAGGTTTCTGCTATAGGGCACGTGCACTCACCAGAAAAGACAGAGAGAGACAGAGAGACAGAAAGCGAGAAATCACCCTCCAGGGGAGATGGCCATGCCACAATCCCTTCTCCATTCTCCTCTCGGGATCTTGGGCACACGTGCACACGTGCCCACTGTGAGTTTAAGCCACTGGGTCTGGGACTCGGACCACGGTCGACGACATGGGAGTGCAGCAACATAGCCATTATGCCAACTGCTGGTGTCTTACAAAGCATTTTATATGTACTTTAATTTTAGTCCCCAAATAACTCTTTAGGATTGTGTAGCTTGAAGAAACTAAAGTACAAAAGATATAAGTGACTTGCTCTGATTTGTATTACTAGGTGACAGAGTTGAGATTTCAGAAAAAAAAAAACCTTCTGGATCTGTTTCTGGAGATTTTTTTGTTTTTGCTATAGGGCACGTGCACTTGCCACAGAGACAGAGAAATAGTGAGAAATCAGCCCCCAGGGAAGATAGCCACACAGCAATCCATTCTCCTCCATTATCCTCTCTGGATTGTAGGCATGCCTGCACACATGCTCAGTGTCAGTTCCAAGCCCCAGGTCCAGGACTCAGACTGTGGTTGGTCATGTGGAAGTCCAGGACATAACTATTGCACCATCTGCGGATCCTTGTTTCTGGAGCTTTTTTGGTAGCATCGCACAATCCTTCTCAACCTCGAAGAAATCTTAGACTGATTGTGACTGGAGTATTCATTTTATAAGCAAGTAATTTTTAATGTTTATTGTGGTAAAATATACATAAGATTTGCCATTATATCCATTTTTGGGTATACAATTCAGTGACCTTAAGTACATCCATAATATTATGCAAACATCACCACCAGTTCAAGAACTTGTAATCATCCCAAACAAAAGCTCTACACCCAGTCATCAATACCTTCCACATCCCTCCCTACTTGTGATAAAAACCTTTATTCTATTTTCTGTCTCTATAAATTTGCCTAGTGTAGGTACCTCACAAAGTGGAATCATACAATATTTGTCCTTTTTGTGTCTGGTTTATTTTCACTTAGTGCAATTTTTTAAGTTTTATCCAGGTTGTAGCACATAGCAGAATTTTATTACCTTTTAAGGCTAATATTGCAGTGTGTGTGTGTGTGTGTGTGTGTGTGTGTATGTGTAACATTAACATTTTTAGACTGTCTATTCTTCTGTACACATTATCAACAGATAGCTTTTCATTTTGTTGTCTGTTAGATATTTTTTCCCTAATCCCCTACTTTCCACCTCCTATTGCCCCCTACCATTATAGTTACCTAATAAAAATAGGCAGTTGGTCGATGTGATTAGAACATCTGTGTTTGCCCGGACCAGCAGTTAGCGCCATGGCTATGTCGCTGGACTCCCATGTAGTCGACTGTGATTTGAGTCCTGGACCTGGGAGATTAAACTCACGCCAGGCATGTGTGCATATGTGCCCAAGATCCCGAGAAGAGAATAGAGGAGAAGGGATTGCGGCATGGCCATCCCCCCTGGGGGGTGGTTTTTTGCTTTCTGTCTCTTTCTGTCTTTCTGGCAAGCGCATGCGCCCTGTAGCAAAAATCTCTCAAAAAAAAAAAAAGAAAGAACATCTGTGTTTGCCAGCTAGCGCCGCCCTGCGATTACATCTTCCAACCTTTTCGTTTCTGCTATAGTGTGTATAGAGTGAAGACATTCTGTATATATTGAGTGAAGCCATACGATGGTTGTCTTTCATAGTCTGGCTTATTTTATTGTGATTCACTTACTTCTGCAGATAGCACGTGATTTGGTTATACTCACCAAACACTTTACTGGGAAGCTCAAGGTTAAAGTTATTAATGCTTTAAAAAATGATATTGTACCACATAAAGATGTACGACAATTAAGTATAAATCAGAAATTATAAAATAAAATTAAAAGGTATATAGAATAAAAAATTAAGCTATTTTTACATTTGATATGGCTCATGATTGTATCTTATATTTGACTATTGTTTAAGAAGATGAAATTGTATATCATTCACGTTTGTATAATAGAAACGAGGTTCTAAACAACCAACACAAAGAAAAAAAATGATCAAAACAGTGTATCAATTTTATTTTTCTCTACAGGGCGCGTGCGCTTGCCAGACAGACAGAGACATAGAGACAGAAAGCGAGAAATCACCTCCCAGGGGGGATGGCCACGCCGCAATCCCTTCTCCTCCATTCTCCTCTCGGGATCTTGAGCACGCACGCACACGCGCCCGGCGTGAATTTTAAGCCACCAAGTCCGGGACGCGAACTGTGGTCGACTACGTGGGAGTCCAGCGACATAGCCATTACCCTAACTGCTGGTCCCAAAACAGTGTATCATTTTAAGAACTCTTCCCTGACTTTGTTCATAAAACTTGGTATCTGGGGAAGAAAATGTTCTACTTATTGAAACCCTATTCTTGGTGATTTTACAATGCGTGATCCTATTTGATCCTAGTAAAAACCTATAAAAAGTATAGCAAATCTCTGAGGTCTAGAGATGCTAAATACCCAAGATTACACATAAGTATTACAGCAGAACAAAGTCATTTATCAACATTTGATTAAAGACAGGTGTATCAGGATCTGTACAATGCTCTTCGGTTTAGAAGAAAAATAGTTCCTTTTTTAACATGAATCTTACAGTTCAGTGGTGACCAACATGGCCTTAAATTTTCCTACAGCTTGAGGAAACTTTAGACAGGTTTGTTTCTTTCTGAATCTTCCCACAGGCTTTCCTTTACTTACAGCACTTAGTTTAGAAACTTGTAATTATAATTTCTTTCACCATGCCTTTGAGATGTAAATCTTCTCTCAGCCTCTGGTTAATTATTTTTTTTTATTTCATTTTCTTCTATACATTCAATCACATTATTTAGCTTACAAAATGAATATTTTAACAGGTGAGCATTTCTTCCTAGTACAGTTGATAAAACTATAAAATATCTTCAACAGAAAACACCACATTTCTTTGTCCCATTAATGCTTTGCCTCAGTGTCTTGTTATTTTTACAATCCCTTCTCTAAGAGCTGGGAACCATCCTTTGAAATGCAATCACCTAAAAAACGATAGGGCCCCTATCCCCCAGTTATCACATAGCAGCTTAACTAGGCGAGTACTAATTGGCAAACACAGATGTTCTAATCACTTCGACCCATCTCCCTATTTATTTTGCAAAAAATTATTTATCTTAATTGCACTTATTATGACTTAATTATATATATATATGTGTGTGTGTGTGTGTGTGTGTGTGTGTGTGTGTATACGCACACACACATATTATTTTTATGATTCTCCACTTCGACATTTTCAATGAACTGCTAGTTCTATAGCTATATATATATATGTGTGTGTGTGTGTGTGTGTGTGTGTGTGTGTGTGT